TGGATTTATGTTGAGGTCTATGATCCATTTGGACTTAAGATGTGTGCATCACAATGGACATGGATCTATCCGCATTCTTCTTCTTGCTAGCATCCAGTTATACCAGCACCATTTGTTAAAGACACTTTCTTTTTTCAATTGTATATTTTTAGATTCTTTGTCGAAGATCAGATGTTCATATGTGTATAGGTTAGTATCAGAGTGTTCAATTCAATTCCATTGGTCTACCTGTCTATTTTTGTGCCAATTCCAAACTGTTGTCAGGACTATAGCTCTATAGTCAAGTTTGAGGTCGGGGATGGTGATGCCTCCAGATATTGCTTTGATGAGTAAGGTTGTTTTGCCAATCCTGGGTCTTTTGCTTTTCCATACAAAATTGATTATTGTTCTTTCAAGGTCCGTGAAGAATTGTGCTGGGAGTTTAATGGGGATTGCATTGAATATGTAGATTGCTTTTGGCAGGATTGCCATTTTTACTAAATTTATCCTACCTAGCCAAGAGCATGGGAGATCTTTCCACCTTCTGGTGTCTTCTTTAATTTCTTTCTTTAAAGACTCAAAGTTCTTGCAATACAGATCTTTCACTTGCTTGGTTAGCATTACTCCAAGGTATTTTATGATGTTTGTGGCAATTGTAAAGGGTGATGTTTCTCTGATATCTTTCTCAGCCTTTTTATTGTCTGTATATAGTAGGGCTTGAGTTGATCTTGTAGACTGACACTTTGCTGAAGTTGTTAATCAGCTGCAAGAGTTCCCTCTTAGAGTTCTTTGGGTCATTTATGTAAACTATGATATCATCTGCAAATAGTGAAAGTTTGACCTCTTCCTTTCCAATTTGTATCCCCTTGATCTGCTTTTGTTGTCATATGGCTCTAGGTAGAACTTCAAGTACAATAATAAAAAGGTATGGAGAGAGTAGACAGCCTTGTCTTGTTCCTGATTTTATTGGAATTGCGTTGAGTTTTTGTCCATTTAGTTTGATGTTGGCTGTTGTCTTGCTGTATATAGTTTTTATTATGTTTAGGTATGTTCCTATTATCCCAGATCTCTCCAAGACCTTTATCATGAGGGGGTGTTGGATTTTGTCAACTGCTTTTTTGCATGTAGTGATATGTTCATGTGATTTTTGTTTCTCAGCTTGTTTATATGGTGGATTACATTGATGGATTTTTGCATGTTGAACCATAACTGCATCCCTGGGATGAAAGCTACGCGATCATGGTAAATGATTGTTTTGATGTGTTCTTGGATCTGATTTGCAAATATTTTATTGAGTAATTTTGCATCAATGTTAATGAGGGATATTGTTCTGAAGTTCTCTTTCTTAGTTGTGTCATTGTGTGGCTTGGGAACCAAGGTTATTGAAGCCTCAAAGAAAGAGTTTGGCAAAGACCCTTCTGCTTCTTTCGAGTGGAATACTTTGAGAAGAATTGATATAATCTATTCCTTGAATTTCTGGGAGAATTCTACACTGAGGCCATCTGGACCTGGGCTTTTTGTTTGGGAGACTTTTGATGACTGCTTCTAATTCCATAGGGGTTATAGGTCTATTTAAATTGCTTATCTGTTTATGATTTAATTTTGGCTAGTGATAGCTATCCAGGACGTTGTCCATTTCCTTAAAATTTTCAAATTTTGTGGAGTATAGGTTATCAAAGTATGACCTGATAGTTCTCTGGATTTCCTCAGTGTCTGTGTTTATGTCTCCCTTTTCATTTCTGATTTTGTTAATTTGCATGTTCACATTCTGCTGTTTGGTGAGTTTGGACAAAGGTTTGTGTATCTTGTTGATTTTCACAAAGAGCCATCTCTTCCTTGCATTGATTATTTGTATTGTTTTCCTAGTTTCTACTTTATTGATTTTAGCACTCTGTTTGATTGTTTCCTGGCATCTACTCCTCCTGGAGAACTTTGCTTATTTGTGTTCTAGAGCTTTCAGCTGTGCTGTTAATTCTGTCGTATAACGATTCTCCACTTTGTTTATGTGGGCACTTAGTGCTATGAACTTCCCCTGTAGCACTTCTTTATAAAGTGTCCCATAGGTTTCTGTATGTTGTTTCTTCATTCTCATTGAATTCTAGGAAGTCTTTAATTTCTTTTGTATTTCTTCTTTGACCCAGGAATTGTGCAGTTGTGCATTATTCAATTTCCATGAATTTGTAGGGTTTCTGCAATTTGTGTTGTTGTTGAATTCTAATTTTAAAGCATGGTGGTCTAATAAGATGCATTGAGTTACTCCATTTTTTTTGTAGCTGCTGAAGATTGATATGTTGCCTAGTATGTGGCCGATTTTTGAGACGGTTCCATGTGGTGTTGAGAAGAAGGTATATTCTTTTTTTATGTGCATGGAATGTTCTATTGATGTCTGTTAAACCCAAGTAGGTCATTACTTCTATTAGTCCATTTGCTTCTTTGTTTATTTTCTGTCTGGTATTCCTGTCTAGTGAGAGTGGGGTGTTGAAATCTCCCACTATTAGTTTGTGGGGCTTTATTGGTGACTCAAATTTTAGTATTGTTTCTTTTACAAACGTGGATGCCCTTGTATTTGGGGCATAGAGGTCCAGAATTGAAATTTCATCTTGGTGGATTTCTTCTGTGATGAGTATGTCATGACCTCCTTCTTCTCTTTTGATTGATTGTATTTTAAATCTAATTTGTTAGATATTAGGATTGCTACCCCTGCTTGTTTTTTGGGTCCATTTGATTGGAAACTCTTTTACCCACGTTTAACTCTGAGTTAATGTATGTCTTTGAGGGTGAGGTGTGTTTCTAGTATGTAGCAGAAGAATGGGTTATGTCTTCAAATCCATTCTGTAAGCCTGTGTCTTTTTATGGGTGAGTTAAGGACATTAATATTGAGGGATATTAATGACCATTGTTTACTCATTTACCTTTGATTTAGAATGGTTGTTGGTGGTAGAATTATGTGTGGAATTCCACCCCTTTTTTCTTTTGGCTGTTGGTAAAGTAGGATTATCTAATTCTTACATTTTTCTAGTTGTACTTAACTTCCTTGGGTTGGTTGGAGTTTTCCTTCCAGAACTTTCTGTAGGGCTGGGTTAGTGGATATGTATTGTTTGAATTTATTTTTGTCATGGAATATCTTGTTTTCTCCATCTATAGTGATTGAGAACTTTGCCAGGTATACTAGTCTGGGCTGGCATCCATGGTCTTTTAGTGTTTGTAGAATATCTATCCAGGACCTTCTGGCTTTCAGAGTTTCCATGGAGAAGTCAGGTATTATTCTGATAGATTTGCATTTATATGTTACTTGGCTGTTTACCTTAGCTGCTCTTAATATTCTTTCTTTATTCTGAATATTTGGCGTCTTGATTATTATGTGGCAAGGGGACTTTTTTTGTGATCAACTTTATTTGGTATTCTGGTAAGCTTCTTATGCCTTCATTGGTATGCCTTTCTTTAGGTTGGGAATGTTTACTTCTATGATGTTGTTGAATATTTTTTCTGCTTCTTTGAGGTGGTTTTCTTTACCTTCTTCTATACCTATTTTTCTTAGGTTTGGTCTTTTCATGGTGTCCCATATTTCCTGGATGCTTTGTGTTAGGGATTTGTTGGACTTAAGATTTTCTTTGGTTGATGAATCCATTTCTCCTTGTGTTTCTTCAACATCTGAGATTCTCTCTTCCATCTCTTGTATTCTATTAGTAATGTTTGTATCTGTAGTAAGTGACCATTTGCCCAGCTTTTCCATTTTCAGCCTTTCTTCAGATTGTGCTTTTTTAATTGTCTCTGTTTCAGTTTTCAACCCTTGCACTGTTTGAATAGTTTTTTGCAATTATCAGTCTATCTTTTCGTGCATTTGTTGCATTTTATGAATTTTTTGGTTTGTTCTTTCTCCCATTTCTTGCATTTTTTTGGTTTGGTTTTTCTTCCATTTCTTTGAGTTATTTTCCTATATCCTCTTTTAGGGCCTCTATCATTTTTAGGAAATTGTTTTTAAGGTCATTCTCTTCTGTTCTCATCTTCTAGTGGGTGCAGAAAGAGCCCCGTATTCATCTGGTGATTAGGGGACCAGAGTACCCTTTCTCCAGGTGCAAGCAATTCCAATACTCTAGTAGTTCTTCTATTCCTACTCCTATTCTATTCCTGTGGGAGGAGAAGAAGACCAGTAATCTGGGGTGCATAGTCTCCCACCTGGTCCCTTGGTCCCTTTGGTAGAAGAGAAGACCTGGGATCTGTGGTACTTGGCTCCTACTGCCTGGATGGGAAGCTCTGTGGCAGTCCCCAGGCACTGGAAGGTACACCAGGATGTGTGGCCTTGTTTACCTGGATCTCGCCTACTTCATTCTTTTCTCATTCCTCCACCAGTGTCTGAGTATTTTTCTTTTTTCATTGATGAGTCTTTCTAAAGATTGTATCTTATTAGTCACCTTTTCATGTTTGACACAAAAATCCACTATGACTATTAGTGATAAAATTTTAATTACCAGACCCATAGTACTTATGATCAGTATTATGTTAATCTCAGGCATGTCATTTATCTTTCCATTTTCTATTTCTATTTTAGAGTTATCTGAAGTAGCACTATACAGAGTCCTAACTCCCTGCATTGTGATATTTCTCATCCTTACTGTGGGGGAGTTTTAATGTTACTTTGCTCTCTTCAATTCACCTGACTATTCAGATTATCCTCAGGCGTGGAAGTAGGGCTGTGCAGATCAGCCAACACTGAACATGGGAGGTGATAGGGTACTTGGAGTGTGTGGGTTCCACACAAGTGGGAGATCCTTAGGAGGTAGAGCAGAGATGAGGTGACTAGGCTTTTAGAGGTGCTGTTCTTGGAAGAAACTGAGGTAGTTCTTGTGGGATGCTCAGTTTCCTCAAAAGGGATTTGTTTGCCTAGAGATATAGCTCAGTGGTGGAGGACTTGACTAGAAAAGTTCAAAGTTCCGTGTTCTATACCTCATATTACATGAAAAACGGTGTTTGTTTTTTTAAATGAAAGAGTGAATTGAGCCCATTGAGGGATTAGGGCATCCTATACCTCCATGTGATCAGTTGCTCTTACATGTGCTCCAGGCATTATTCGGTATTCCTTATATGATGTCCTTATGTGACAAAAGGATTAGGAATTTAAGGCTATCTTCACTGGCATCATGCTTTCAAGGCCTGTTTGGCATATGAGACCCTATTTTGATAAAGAAGGTAGGTCTTTTGTCTAATATAATAATTGTACAGAGGGCAGAGGAGGGGGATGAGAAAGTGACTTACTTAGTTATCTGATAAAAGGACAAACAAGGAAGTATAGATAGCAAGAGCTATGACACTGAGGTAATTAACATTTTAGTCAATGGCTAAGAAAGCCAGTGTGATTGAAGCAGAGTAGGTGGACGACAGAATATGTAACATTATTGAGCCAATTTGGAAGACCTCGTATGGTGCTTTTGCTGTGAATGGTTTATGTCTTAGTTAGCTTAGTCAACTTGACATGGCCTAGAGTTATCTGAGAAGGGCATCTGGGCTGTGACATGTGTATAGGAGATTTTCTTACTATTAATTGATGTGGAAGGGCCTGGACCACTGTGAATGGCATCATCTTTAGGCACTAATCCTGGACTGGATATGAGGGCTACTTAAGTGTGAGGACCTTAGAGAGCAGGCCTGCCAACAGTGTTCTTTGATGGTTTCTACTTCAAGTTCCTGCTGAAATTTCTGCCCTGAGTTCTCTAACTTATGGATTGCGACCTGGAAGTACAAGTCAAAATAAACCCTTTCCTCCCCACATTGATTTTGTTAGAGTATGTTATCTCATCAACAGAAATAGAAATTGGTGCCAGGAAAGTGAGGTGCACGTGTGAGGACCTGACCATGTGGTTTATTGTTTGATTTTTTGTTTTAGTTTTTTATGCTTGGAATGATATTGTTGGAGTATTAGGGAGAATTTTGGTGGCTAAGAGTAAAAGCCATTGATTATGTAGAGTTTGGTGAGCAATTGCTACAGGAATTTGAAGGACAATGTTGAGGAAAAAGCTGTCTCAGGGAACTTAGCTCAAGTTTGAGAAGGTTTCAATGCTATATTTAGAACTGGCCTGGGGGTCATTCTTATGAGATCATTACTAAGAGTTTGTTGTTTCTGGTCAGGTGAAGATTCAGCTATTATTAATATGAGATCAACATCATTGATGTAAACATCTTCTGCACTTCAATGGGAGAACAGGGACACATTTCCTCAGGACACACGTGTCTACAGCACACAGAAGCTGTGGTCTAAAGAAGAAAACTGAACTTGACAACGGGAAAGCATCACTCACACGGTACTGGCTTTCAAGGGGATGAAAGTTGCCGGATTGAAGGGGTCATGGAAAGAAGCTAAAGCTTGGCACAGATTGGCACAGTGGACATATCTAAGAGACACCAAGAGAGGACATTGGTGAAGGTTCAACCTCAGTTTGAATAGAGACCCAGGGTACTGGAGATGCTGGGACTGTGGATTGTCTACCGAGGACAGTAGCAGGAGTAGAGTGGAGCCAGCCTAAGCTGGCTAAGCTAAGATGTGGATGAGACACAGGTCTCTGGGTAGCTTTGGAGCCTACCCTGGAACTCTCTCTGTAGACCATTGTGGGCTCAAACTGACAGAGATCTGCCTGCCTCAGCCTCCTGAGGGCTGGGGTTAAAGCTTCACCACTACCAGCTCATTTTTATCTTTTTTAAAGAGTTTACTTTTCATTTTCTTTACTTTGAAACAAAAAATATTTATAGACCGACACAATGGTAAGTTATATTTCTAGTTTCCTAGATTTAACAATGTAGGGATAAATAATTTATATTATTTTACCTGATCTTAAAAAATGATATATATTATATGTGAGATGAATTCATTAGATTTCTTAAAAAAGAAAAGAAAAGAAACCAAACCCTGATCACTTTTGGCAATGGAGGATTTGTGCAAGGGTGTGGTGTGATGAAGTTACCCAAAGATATTATCTCTTGAGCTATAGTGTTGCTCAAGGTACTTCCAAGAAGAAAGGAAATATAAAGGCAGGTCTTATGGGAAACCAGAATCTAATGACCTGAATTCTCTTAATTCATAAGACTTGTTGATTTCCAAGAAGTTGATGATGTGATTGGGTTTGTACATTCCTCCTCAAATCAGAACTAAAATGACTTGAATTTTGTGCTGGTGAAACTCAGGTGAGATGTATCTTCTTTGCGTATTTAGTCTTTTCAAAAGTCTGAACACTTGTATGCCAGCAAGATTGATGTCTCTCAAAACCGCCAGTAGTCAAATCCAGCAGTTTTCCTCACAAGGGTAACAGAATACACTTCTATTTAGAATAAATGTGTTTTATTCTGAATATAAAGCCTACATGGGCCTTTGTCACAATTATTTGAGAGCTGAGTTTATATGCTGTGACTACTTAGCGGTATAAACCTCCATGCAGACCTGAATTTTGTGTTCATATATTCTATTAGTTAGTAATTAGTTGGACTCTCTTGAACTATTATCTCATAATTTCATCCTTCATAATAATAGCACCACCTTAAATTTCTCTGATTTCATTTAGATTATATACTACTTTGACTGATTATAGGTCAGGTTTATGTCTCTCTCTCTCTCTCTCTCTCTCTCTCTCTCTCTCTCTCTCTCTCTCTCTTTTGGGTTCTTGAGGCAGAGTTTCTCTGTTTTGCTTTGGAGGCTGTCCTAGAACTCCCTTTGTAGAACAGGATCACCTCCAACTCACAGAGATCTGCCTGCTTCTGCCTCCCAAGATCTGGGATTAAAGGTTTTGCCACCAATGCAGGGCTAGTTCTCTATTTTTAAAGGAATTTCACTTTGAAACTTAAACAAAGCCACCCTATTTTTTGAAAACATTTTGTGAATACATATTTAGTCCTTTGATTCTCCACTACTGGGGCAGAGAGGAGGCTCAGTGGGGAAAGTGACTGCCACACAAGTGTGAGGACCAGAGTTTGCATCCCAGTCTTATTGACATTGAGCAGGCCCAGCAACATGCCTGGATCCCAAGCTCAAGAGGCAACAGCGGGTGGGATCTGTGGAGCAGGCTGGCTAGCCACATGACATAAAGGAGTTCTTGTTCCCTTGGAAACAGCTGGTTGCCAAGGGATGATGCATCTGCTCCTTTATGACATAATCTCCGTGTGAGGGACATAACCTCAGTGTGAGGGATAAATTCCTTGACCCCAGGGTTCAGCAGTTGCTGGATGTAGACTAGTTTGAAGCTACTGGTGATAGGTACCCTTTTGAGCAAAGTTTTAAAGAAAATTACATAAAGGTAAGCTGTCTTATTTAGTCTTTCTGCCTTTAGCCTTGAAGGAGAACAAGTAGTTAGGTCACTAGAAGGTTCGGTAGGTATGACTAATTTCTAGGTAGACGCCCCAGGTCCAGGTAATCAGGTGACCCAATGTGAAGGAGATTCCAAAATAATTGACATCCAAATCGACCCTTCACTGTAGCTTCTCTACATAGTAATAGCAGAGACCATGAGACTTTCCCAGTGTCTTCTGGTCTCATTCAGAGAAAAGGATATCTTTCTTACAATGGCCTTCAGAATATAGTCTGGCCTTCTGTCACCCATGTGAGTTCATGTCTAATCTCCCTCTCATCCATCCCATTCTTCATTGGCCACCTTTGTGTCATGCTCTCCCTCTAGGGCACCACTCACAGTGGACTTTAGATCTGTTGCTGACCTCATTCACACTCACAGCTCACCACTTCATCTTCTTCAAGCCTTTGGTGAAATGCTATTTTCTCAGCGAAGGACCTGAGTAAAAAATTACATATAGGAATAATGGAAGTGTGTGACAGGAAGTTACAATTGAGCAGGTGTCATAAGAAACAGCAGTAATTCCATAGACTTGTCAGATGTGTCATCACACATCTGACAGTGTGCTATGTGTGTAATCTTTATACCTGAAACAGACAGGTATATGATTCGTGATTATTAATGGGAAATGCAGAAATAATCTTTCAGTTTAGGAGGCGATCATGACCATCTGTAGTTACAAAGAGGAGACAAATTCTAAGAGTTGACTTTCTGAGCCACTGAGAAATTTGTGTCCATTAGCAAACAGGAAACCTATAAGCTATCCTGGATCTGACTCTTAGGCAACCAGAAACAAGAGATAATCACCCAGTTCTGGCAGTTTAGAACACTTCATTGTAGATTTAGATCTACACAGTGTGGAGGGTATCTGAGAAAATAACTCCTTTCCCCACTCCCACTCTTTCTATTTCTTTATTGCTATGATGAGTTGTCTAACCTCACATTCTCATTTCCTGCTGTGATTACAGGGCAGTATAGACTTGATTTAAATTGGCACAATAATGTTTGAAATATAGGCATCTCTAAATCACAGGTACTGAAGACATCCTTGGTGTCTGACAGACATAAGGTTTTTAGTTTCTACTTTTTCATATATGTATGTCCACTTAGCACCACTTTTATGATTAAATTTATCTTTAGTTTTTATCTGCTAATTTTTCAGTCCAAATGTTAAAACAAAGAAGTGATCCATCTGAGACACACTCCAGATGGGGGAGGACAGACATTAATATTCAATTTGTAAGCTCGGCTCAACTCAGTCTAACAAGTTTACTGGGCACAAAATTTCACACTAGTCATTTCAGTGAGTGTAGATGGGTTTTTCTCAACTTATATTAGGAATGGCACCTTCTTAGGAGAAAGGTTCCCAAGGAGAAGACCCCATGGGGAGCAGTGTCTCTGACTTACTTCAGGGAACAAACAGCTGGGAGAAGCCTGGGGCAGCAGGAGTTGTTCTTGTAGAACTTGGGTGGGCAGGAACTGGCTGGGACTAGAGGGAAGGACTTGGGATGGGGGTAAGGAAGGAGTAGGGTGTCCTCGGTGTTCCCCCTCAGCCTGGGCTGATAGACCATTGCCAGGCGGGTCCAGCTATGGCCACCACATGCCCCACTGAAGCTTGTAGTCTTGAGGCAGCCTCTGCTTTTGAATTTGGAAACAGCACCATGCTGTTTTAGAAGCTGACTCCAAGGGAGGAGTTGGTGTCAGGCTCAGGCCCAGAGCCTCAGGTGAGGGGGGAAGGGGAGCACCTGGGGGCAGCTTTGCCAACTGCTGCTCCCCCCCCCCTCCCAGTGTGAACATGGGGACTAAGATGGTCCCCTAGTGTCTGAACAGATCCTTCCTCTCCACCCTGTCCCTGCCAGGCCTGCAGGCACTATGGAGGACGAGGAGAGAAGGAGGAAGATTGAATATGGAAGAGCTATTGCAGCAGCGTGGCGGCTTAGCGGGGCGGCAGACGCGATGGAGGATGAGGAGAGACAGAGGAAGATTGAATATGGAAGAGCAATTGTAGAAGTGTGGAGGCTTAGCCAGCCCGCAGAAGCAATGGAGGAGGAGGAGAGAAGGAGGAAGATTGAATATGCAAGAGCAAAGGTGGGAGCTCAGCAGCCTGGAGGCGGTGTTCGGGGGCGGGGCGGGACGGGAGGCGGGGCGGGAGGCAGGCGGGACGGGAGGCGGGGCGGAGGCGAGGCGGGACGGGAGGCGGGGCGGGACGGGAGGCGGGGCCGCAGGGCTGGGTCTTGGTCTGGAGAGAGCAGCCCCTTCTGGCTGCGAGCAGGAGACCTGATGCCTGCACCACCAGTCTCCTTTCTCCTGGGTGCCACACAAAACCCTCTCAGCCCCCCTCCCCAGAAACTGCCACGGAATTGCGTTGCAGCCTCCGCCCTTTCACTTTCTATAGGGAGCTTTGAGCTTTCTGAGTTCGGGTTTAGGGATTTCTTTACTCCGAGGGACACCGTGCTCTGATCACCAGCCTGTTGCACTGAGGTGTCAGGCTGGCATTCTTGGGTGAGTGTGATTGGCCTGTGACAGCTGCCTCCCCAGCGGAGTGGCTTGAGTGTGCCACAAGTGCCAGCTGTGAACTTGGCTGTGGGGGCGTTTTTAGAAGGGGTTCTTCCTCCTCCTCCTCCTCCTCCTCCTCCTCCTCCTCCTTCTAGTCCTCCTCTTCTCTTGTATATTTGTGTAGAAGGTCTTTGCCATGGCACGTGATCTTTTGTAGTATGTGGAATGGAACTTCTGAACACCGAATATTCTATAAATTAAACAGCACCTGTCGAATTGCTGTTAATGCATTTGTTATGCATTTGGTGAGTTCAGTTTTATGTGGGCAGGTGTGTATGGCAAGACCTGTAAACCATCCAGAATTCTATATAGGTGTCTTTCATTGGGCTGAATGAATATTTCACACGTGAATTGAATGTAATGATTTCTTCCTGGTCTTTGAGCTTAGTTTTGCCTTCCTTTCTTCCTAAAATGCAGTTACCTTGGAGATAATTATGTTTTCATAGGTGGGGTCAATTAAATTATGTTTTAAACTGTTTTTGTCCTATTGTAGATGTTGGCTTTGTGTCAAGTTGACACAAGCTACAGTCATCCAAGAGGAGGGAGCCTCAATTGAAAAAATGTCTCCTTAAGTTCTGGCTATAGGCAAGCCCATGGCAAGTTGTTCTTAGAGATTGATTGGGGTGAGCCCAGCCCATTGTGGGCGGTGCCCTTTGGGCTGTTGTCCTGGGCTGTTTAAGGTGGAGCACTCCATGTGGAGCAAGCCAGTGAGCAGCACCAAGGACCCTGCTCCAGCTCCTCCTTCAGGTTCCTGCCCTGTGTGAGTTTGTCCTGACTTCCTTTGATGATGACTGTGATATGGGAATAGAAGCCAAATAAAGCCTTTCCAAGTTGCTTTGGTCACGGTGTTTCATCATAGCAATAGTCACCCTAAGTAAGACATCTATTTCCTTTTTTCTTCTCTCACATTAACAGAGGAGAGCAGGTCAGTAACGAATGAAGGGATACTGCAGAGATACGGTGGTACATGCTCAGGATTGGTTTGTTACAGAATATGTGCAGGAGCTAACTTTGTATCTCTAGAATATGTTTAGCTGACTTTCCCATAAGCACCCTCTATGTAGGGTCTAGTTTTGAATGTGTGTATAGCATTCTATGTATAAATGGAGGGACAGGGGAATCAGCATCTTTAGAAGCCCAGCTTTGCTTACCATTGTGCAATCTGAGAAAGTGAGCACCTTCTGTGCATCGAAGGAATTGAAGATGGAGTGTGCATCCCTTTGCAAACATACTTTGATTAGACAGTATTTTTCCTGTCCTTACTCCTGCCTCCCCTTCTTGCCTTTTTAGCCGTCTTAGACCATAGTGCAGGATAGCCTTGAGCTCAATGTATAATCCAAGCTGGCTTCAGAAAAGGATGATTCTTGTACTGGATTTAAGTTGGTGTAAATCATTTCATAACATGTACTATAATGTATACATGAGGAGCTGCTTCTACAATGATCATTTTTGTGTTCTATATAAATGAAAATTGTCAGTGGAGCAATTTAGGAAACAATTTACCCAGAAAGGTGTTTTGAAGGCTCGAGGTCTTAGTTTTGGTTTTCTTCGATGTGATTATATGAGAATTCAAATTTAAGTAGTGGTGGTATTTGTTTCATAGAAAATAAATTATATGAAAAGGGAAATTCATGCTGGTATGATGGCTCTGTTTACAAAGTGGTTGCTTTTGCATGCAATGATCAGCTCCCTGAAATCCATATATCCACTGTAGAACAAGCGTTTGTGCTTCACATAGAGAGAGCTTTACTTACATGCCGCAGCTGTATTCTGTAAAGTTATCCCAATGATGAATTACTATACACTGAACCATTTTTCCTAAGGAAATCAGGTCTAGATTCCTGTGAGATACTGGTCCCATTTTGTTAAATAGTTGGTAGAAGGCTGGCAAGAAGGGTTAGTGGGTAAAGGCACTTTCCGCAGAAGCATGGTGACCTGAGTTCAATTCCCAGAGCGCATGGAAACAGGAAAAGTAATCAATTCCCCCATATTATCAGTGTAATCTCACATTTGACATGTTGTGCATGTTCCCCCATGTCATGCACATACAAATTAATAAATAAGTTAAACATATAATTAAAACAGCAGTTGTTACACAGTCTTTTATGTGAATTTATGTTTCAAGTCTCCTTATGTAGGATAGATTGTTAAATCATTAGTGTGGTTCACATGTGTGTATTGAGTAAGAGGACTTGAAACAGAAGCATACACATGCACACACACACTAGAGACCATGCCTGAGCCAAACTTCACTACCTCACCTGTCCTCATATGGCACATCGCAACCTTGTTGTTCTTAGATATAAGAGGCGGCACTTCAACTTTATGCTAGAGGTCATTTGTAAACAGTGAAATTACCAGTAACAAGTGCCAAAACGTGCCACTATGTACTCTAGAAGGATACTGAATTTACATTGTGAGCAACAAGAAAGGAAATGTTGCCCTGTTCTGTGTCATGTAGTGTTATCTACCTTGTGTTCACTCTACATTTTCCAAATTCTGCTCATGACCTCAAATGACCTAGTAGATGTCACAAAAATTGATTTAGGGACTAGCAAATAAATTTTATTAAGGAGGTGAGTTCATGAAAGAAAGAGTCTGCATAACAAAAATCAACTATATTCTTAGATATGAAATCAGTAAATATTATCCTGTTCTTTATCTTGATAGTATTCTTTGATGTACAAAATGTTTAACTTTTGAAAAGAAATGGTGAGGGACTGTTGAGATGGTTCAGTGTTTAAAGTCACTTGCTGACTGGACCTAATGGCCCAGGCCTCTAATCCCAGCACTAGAGAGGCAGAGGCAGGAAGATCTCTGTGGGTTCCAGGCTAACCTGGCCTATAAAGTAAGTTCCAGCATAGTCAGAGCTTCAGAGTTGTCTGGATAGATGTGAAAGTTGTAACTTGAATTTGCTGGTTCTTCCCTGTACTGTGGTTGCATTCCCCCAGTGATGTTTTACTCAGGGCTTTTGCTGTTAAATTACTTTAGCATTATTTCCTTTATTTATTTGACACATAGCATTGAACAGAACCGATTTTAAGTTTGTGGCTGCTATATCCATAATCAAGAACAATTTCTCTCTATCAACCACAATTTTACTTATGGACAGGCCATACTCTCCCATACCTTTGTGTGCCTTGCAATTTTCAAAACACTGTTTGTACTATGGCAACTCTGGCATGGAATTTGGTTTCAAGATGAATTTTTTTAACTTTATAGTATATTGATATTTGTATTCTTTGCTGTATTTATCATTTTGAATGCAAAATCATTGTTAATCATGTTGTTTTTCTTTTTTGAGACAAGAATCTCTCTATGTAGTCCCAGACATCCTCACAGAGACCCACCTGCCTCTTTCTCCCAAGTGCTGGCATTAAAGGTATGCACTACCATGACTGGGTAATCATTCTGTTATTCTTTTGGGAGTCGAGTTATTGAAAGCTTTAGGTCAGCTTCTAAAATCCTCACTCAGGCTTCAAAAAAGTCGCCACAATTAACTGAAGGAACTAAAATGTGAGGGAAAAAAGAATCTACTTACAGCATTATGTTTCAATCTATGTCTCCTCCTCTTCCCCTTCCTCTTCCTCCTCTTCCTCTTTTTCTCCCCAGTTCTTGGGGGTACAAATATATACATGTTTGTATCAGTAATTGTTTTGTAACACAATATGAGTCTTGAGTTTCTCAGGATCAGCAAGTCAGTTAATATTTACACACAAAGCAATAAAGTAAAACTTTTTGGAGACCCATTTAGAACTAGTTGCTTAGGGAGTGGGTCTATGTTTATTCGCACAAGAAACAAAACCTGGCACCTTCCAGTGCTCTGGCCTTAGTGGTGGCACAGGCATTCAGGAAAGTTTACTTTTCCCTGAGGATGAGCAAAGGGGCTGATTCCCTTTGTCTTTATCTTCTCAGAGGAAACAGGAGGGAGCAGTAAATCTCTGAGCTAAAATCTTGAGTTAATGAAACAACAAGTTTGAGAATCTTTTACTGCAGGGTGACTTTAGGTTATCACTTCTCTATCTTTCTGTGAGGTAGAACCAGGACATGCTTATTTTTTCTATCCATCAAGGCAGTTATGAATCTTCAGCTTTGCACATGTAGTAATTCTATGTCTTTGGATATCTGGGAATGTCTTAGATGGAATGCTTTGCCTGGGCCCTAAACACTGACCAAGTGCCTGTTGCTGAGGACAATCACAGGAAGGCAGATTTCTGTAACTACTATGGAGAAGGAAACAAGGAGCTGATTGTGGGAAACTGGCCTCACACCAAGCTAAGGAATGTAATCAGTTAACCTGAACTTCATGGGAGAAACTGTTCCCAGTAAATTACTAGATAGTCTTAAACTGTGAGAAGTAAATCCAAGGCTGTTACAGAAAGGAATAATCTACAGGAAGAATCTATAGCAAGAAACAGACACTTTTATTCGTAAGACTATAACACCAACTACATCTTTGGTATTGGTTTAATCCAATGGAAGAATTATTAATTATCCTGTGTTGTCTAATGATATGATTGATGGCTGTATAA